CGAAGCTAAAGGAGGCTAATGTTGGGCTATAAAGGAACTACAGCACGGTCACATGACTTCACGTCACCACCGCTAAGCTAAAGGTGGCTAATGTTGGGCCTGATGACGTTTAGTCGTGTCATTTAGACACTTGATAGCAACCAACGTTTTTAAATTCACCAGTGCTACCGACATATTTCATGTGGTAGAACAACAATTTAAAATCTCCCCTGCTTTTGTTAACATCAGACCATTTTTCAAAAACATGTTCGAAATCCATTGACTTCAAGACGAAACTGTTTACTGTGTTTCTATATGTTGTATTGTATTGCGTTTATATTCACACAGAGAGTAGAAAGTAGTCTCTCACCAGTATCTGGTTTGGAGAACTCGAGGCAGAGAATCTCTGAGTCGTGAGCCTGAACGTTCAAAATCTCCTCCATCCCGTCCAGATCATGGATCCTACAACAAATATACAATAAAAAAATAAAAAATAAATATGTCCTTTTGCACAAAAAACACAGATAATCAGAACCTGCTGAGTTTACTTATCCATTACTCAGGTGATTGACAGAAGCTGATCACTGAGCTGGTTTTGAGGGTTATTTTTTGTCATCTTAATTTTGATAATTTTGATAATCATCCTTGAAGGAGCGAGAGTTACTGCCTCTAACATGTTAAGCGTCTCCACCTGTCCCCCTCACCTGAGGACCCCCATGCGGTCTCCGGAGGCCAGGTGCTGCCCGTCAGGACTGACCCTCAGGGTCCTAATGCCCGCCCTGCTCTGGTCGGCCTGCGGCCCCTCGGAGCTCGAGGACCCCGTCTTCTCCGAGCTGCTCCCGTTCACCGTGTCGCTCTCCGGGTCCAAAAGGCCGGAGACGTTATCGTCCACGTAGATGACCTTCTGCAGGTCCTGAGGGGTCAAAGGTGAGAGAGTGTCAGGTAGCGTTCATTTACAGTTTGTCTTTATTAAAACAAGGATGATAGATGTACCTCTTACAAATATTACTAACAGCGGCAAAGAAAACGATTACAATAAGATATTGGACTGTATTATTGTAATATGAGCTTATATATAACCCATCTTTCACTGTATCTTTGTTATACCTTATTTACGTTCTCCGTGTTATTATTGATTTGATTTCTATACCTTTAGTTTTTCATCATGTTGAATTTGTAGGATTTGAGACCTTAAACATGTTGTGACCCCTTGTTAAAGAAACCATTCATCTAAATTGGAGTACTATTGGATGTAAAGGGGAATGTGAGAAAATAACTAATAAAGAATAAGAATAAAAAAAACAAGAATGATGAATAAAAATAGAATAATCACAAAAAGAGAAGAGATTAATTATGCCAAATTCTGCTATCAGCTAATTCAACATCACACTAACATGTCTACAGACAGATGAAAGCACAGATGTGTTCTCCTACGTGGCTCAGGATGTTCCTGGTGAGCAGTTTGTGTCCGTCGGTGTTCCAGAGTCGGATGGTGTTATCTGAGGAGCAGGAGAGGAACGACCCGGGGGGGAGACGCACCTCCCCTCCATCTCCTCCCTTTCCTACTCCATCTGGGTACACCTGCAGGGGGAGCAACAGAGAGGCCGTCTCAACTGAAGTGCTTAAAAACGACAGATCAATATGTTGTTATCTTTTGATTAGGTCCATTATATAGCAATGTCTTAGGTCCAGATAGGTCAGCATGTCGTCAATACAGTATGTAAGTATCTTTGGATAAAAGTGTCTAACAAGTGACCTGTAATGTAATAGTTATTATAATGTGGAATTCTGGAGTATTATGAAGTAATTCCTTATTGCTGAATCCCATTGAAAGTATAGTTTGAGCACATCAGGGGGAAAAGAGGACAATGAGAAGGGGAGGGGTCCAATGTTTACTGTTCCCTTATTGCAAATGTCTACTACTCCCTGTAACTGCAAGTCTAATTCATTGCAACTGTTGAAATGTCCTCAACTGTCTTCTAAATAAAGAACAGGCCATTTATCAAACCTTGCAGAAAAAACAACTTTTTAAATGATTGGTTTTTCATTTGAGGAAACACAGACTGGGAATTACCCAAAAGTAGTAAAAGGAACCCATTTGGTGCAGAAACAGGTGTCTTTACACGCTTACACACATTCAGTTTTTATGACCACTTCAGTTCAGCTCAGTGACCTTTGACCTCTGAGGAATGTGTGCCTTCATTGTATATAAATTAAATAACTTAAATAACGCTGACCTCCAGGCTCCACACACAGGAGGAGTGGTACAGGGCGGAGTAGAGTTTCCCCGCCCTGCGAGGGTCCTTCAGGTCTCGGACGTCCCAAACGTAAACGCTGTGGTCGTTGTAGACGCACGACAGCCAGCGGCTCGTGGGGTCGTAGGTCACGGCTACCGTGTCGGGGTACCGAGCCTCTGGACGGGAGGTGAACAGCTGACTGGGGAGGAGATAAAGAGAGAGAGGGCTCACAAATAATAAACATTTTCATTGCAGCTGCTTTTAAAGGTCCCATGTCATGCTGTTCTGGTTATTACCCGTCCCCTTGTGTGTGATGAAGGTTGTTCTGCATGTAAACGGTCTGCAGAGTCAAAACCCTCAAAGTACACCCTGTAGGGAGTAAAACTCTAACACAGAGAAGACCTGTCTGTGCTGCCCCAGAACGCCTCGTTGGAGATTTCTCTTTTTCTTCCTGGGTATGGTGACGTGACCATACCCAAATGGACCCATTGGTCCGTGGAGCTCCTCTCTCAGCGGCGAAACTGTGGCACGCTTACACTGTAGGTGCGCAGAGTTTGGGGGTGCGGGGGGGGGTTGCGGGTGCTAGTGGAGCCTCGCAGATCGGGGTGCTGCAGCCCCCTCAGCACCCCCCCTTTCCCGCGTCCATGGAGTTCAGGCTGAGTTTTGATGTCTCGCTGCCGCAACCAGGAAACCACACCAGCAAGCCAGCTCACACTGTCCGCTCGCAGCGAGCCCCCCGCCAACACGGCACTGCCGTGTTGGCGGGGGGCTCGCTGCGAGCGGACAGTGTGAGCTGGCTTGCTGGTGTGGTTTCCTGGTTGCGGCAGCGAGACATCAAAACTCAGCCTGANTCCCCGCCGCGTCGCAGTGTCTTACACTTCTAATTGCTGACTCCTGCGAGCGTGCAGCGGCGTCTTGTTGGTGTCTTCTAGTCGAGCAGACACTCGGCTCTCCCCCGGACTATGCGGGAGCCCCCCCTACCTACACCTGCTGTGTCTGTGTGTGTGTGTGTGTGTGTGGTGTGTTTGTGTTGTTGTGTGTGTGGTGTGTGTGTGTGTGTGTGTGTGTGTGTGTGTGGTGTGTGGTGTGTGTGTGTGTGTGTGTGTGTGTGTTGTGTGTGTGTGTGTTGTGTGAGCTGTGTGTGTGCTGGTGTGTGTGTGTGGTGTGTGTGTGTGCTCGTGGTGTGCTCCACTCAGCTTATAGTTTAAGTCTTTGTAGTGAAGAGACCGACTCAAATGTGGTTGGTACTTCTACCTCAAACTGGACGCTGCTAACTGCACTTCAGATGGACAGCCCACTCAGCAGCAAGTCATTTGGTTTTATTTTTGTACCCTACCGGGATAGATCGGATGTTCTAGCAGTCTATTTGGGCTCCACCTGCGATCCTCAATGCCTTAAATGTACCCTTATACAAACGCTTTAAATGGTTAGTTGTAATAGTTAACCTTTATTCATATATATTTAATCCTAGATGCTCTGTATAATTTAATCTTAAACACGTCGCTCTACACTCCCACCCTGTATCGCCCATTAATATGTGGTGAAAAACATTACACTAATACCTGACTGCGATGTTTCCACACTCATCACCATACGCGGCAGTCTATGACTGACCCAACGCGAAAAAATTTACGCCGCAAGCTATTGCCCGCAAACCTTTACTCGACATCGCCAGCATGACGGATGCCAGGTAACACACACACACACACACACACACACACACACACACACACACACACACACACACACACACACACACACACACCTGACAGGCAAGGTTATTTGGTTAAGGAATAATTTCCGTCATAATCCTTCTCAATAAAACGTATTCACGGGAGATTCCTAAATATAAAAACTACATTTTATTGTCTTTCCTTAACGAATAATACCAGTTAACATGTTTAGGGAAGGAACATTTGGAAAGAGATCCAATGAAAAGACAGAACTCTTTCCTCAGATCCAACTTCCTTTGTGGCTGAAAAAAAACCAGGCATTATTCTTGTTTTATTTATGAGACTTAGTTAAATAAGTATGTCATTCTAAGATGAAAAAAAAGACAAATTGCCCCCATAGGAATGTCTACGGTAATGAAGTGAATGTCTGTCGCTTTTGGATTAGTGACTCAACGAAAATTGGACATTTAAACTGGAAATTAGACCGGTTTTCATGAAGGCAAGGCAAGTTTATCTATATAGCACTTTTCAACACAAGGCAATTCAAAGTGCTTTACAAAAATGAAAGACATTAAGAGCTTAAAACACATTAGAAATATTAAAAAGCAAAGATAATAAAACATGAATAACACAGGTACATGAATACAAGTTACAGTGCCATGTAAGATGTGAATAGTTCAATTAAAACACATGACCAAATATGTATATATGTTCATTTTAATTCATTCAAGAAGCCAGGAAACAACATTGTGTCTTTTCCTTGGATCTCTTCACAAAACTGTTAAACTACTGAAGGTCCATTTCTACTGATCATGATTCCATTGTTGAGGTCTACTAGACTAGATTTACATTGTTCAATGTTCCAAACTCACATTGGTTTCTCAAACAGCATCTCTTCACTCTCTGTCCTACACGGCTTGTTGGAGCTCCTGCCCCCCCCCCTGTGAGCCCACTGTGCTCTGATTGGTCAGCTCGCCCACTCTGTTCTGTTGAGTCCACCACCGTTACAGTGGAACATCAGTGATTATGTTACAATGG